TGGCTTCTGCTGTGAGGACACAGTGCCACCTCCCGGCAACGCCACGCTCCAGAGGGAAGGAGACGGGGGAGAATGATCCTGTGAGACGTGGATGGGGTGCAGCGAAAAAGCATTTAGCAGTGGCCTGCAGGAGGTTTCGGGGAGCCCAGCTCTGCGAGGCGGGGGATGTGGCTGAGCGCTTTTGCAACCAAGATGTAGACCGAAGTGTGAGGAAATGCCATCCTGAGGTGCCCCGGCAACGCCACGCTCCAGAGGGAAGGAGACGGGGGAGAATGATCCTGTGAGACGTGGATGGGGTGCAGCGAAAAAGCATTTAGCAGTGGCCTGCAGGAGGTTTCGGGGAGCCCAGCTCTGCGAGGCGGGGGATGTGGCTGAGCGCTTTTGCAACCAAGATGTAGACCGAAGTGTGAGGAAATGCCATCCTGAGGTGCATCAAGAAAGGTGTGGGAAGCAGGTCGAGGGAGGTTATCCTTCCTCTCTACTCTGCCCTGATGAGGCCGCTTCTGGAGTGCTGAGTCCAGTTCGGGGCTCCTCAGTTCAAAAAGGATGGGTAACTGCTGGAGAGAGTGCAGCAAAAGGGCTACAAATGTGATTAAGGGACTAGAACATCTGTCCTTTGAGGAGAAGTCTGGAGAAGAGAAGACTGACGGTGGATCTTATCAATGCTTCTAAATAATTAAAGAATGGATGTTAGGAGGATGGGGCCAGTCTTTTTTCAGTAGTGTCTAGTGAAAGGACAAGAGGTAACGGGCACAAACTTGAACATAGGAAGTTTCATCTAAAAAGGAGGAATTTCTCTACTTTAAGGGTGGCAGAGCACTCAGACAGGCTGCCCGGAGAAGTCTGTCTCTGAAGACATTCAAAATCCACCTGGACATCATCCTGTGCAACTTGCTCTAGGTAAACCTGCTCTAGCGGGGCAGGGGTTGGACTAGGTGATCTCCAGATGTCCCTTCCAACCTGTAACATTCCATGATTCTGTGAAATGCAGTCTGGCTGCTATGTAAAGAACTGCAGCACCTGGAGACCTCTGGTAAATGCATACACAAGATCAATAGCGGGGAACCCTCCCTTCTTCCTGCCATCACACACACACACATACACACACACTGCGATGGTCACTGAATCCTCCTCTGGGATTTTTCAGGAGCTTCTGATTTTACTAGAAAAATTTCTCTCCATTTCTCACTGCTCCCTCAAATTGACTGGGATATCCTGAAGCAGCAGGGCAGGCAGGGACCTGCAGGCCAAGGACAGCCTCAATGTCTATACACGTGACGGGACATCCCTGTCCAAATCAGAAAACATACAGCTCCAGGGAAGCTGATGCTCTGCAAATACTGGCTAAACGCAGAGGCAGGAAAGAGCAGTCTGAAAAGCAGCCAAAGTCCATGGCCCTTTGAACTTGCATCATGCTGGCCAGGGGAAGCTGCCAACTTTCAGTGCAAAGAGCCCTCTTACTTGTGGCTTAGCAGCACAGCCAGGAATGGATGCATGTGGGGGGTGTGTGTGTGCCCCAAGAAAAGGGCAAAAATATGATTTTTTAGATGGAGGCAATGTGGGACATCAGTGCATATCTGCATGTTGTTGAAAGGAGTGGAGTTTCATGGTACTGTGGCAAAAGCACAGAGCAGGACTAGTAGTCTCAAAGCTCAGGTGCTCACCCAGGCGAGAGAGAACCAGACACATGGGGCAACTTGAAATCCAAATGGGAAATTCCAATTATCAATGTCACTGCAGAGAGAGGAACCTGTGCGTTGTGTGTGGAACTGGTGCTTCAAAGCAGGCAGGGCAGCTCAGGAAATTTGGCCTCTGAAATGGTTGGAGGTAACCAGTACTGCTGCTGCACATGTCTTATGAGGAGTGGCTGAGAGAACTGCAGTTGTTCAGCCTGGAGAAAAGGAGGCTGAGGGGAGACTTTATTGCTTTCTACAACTACCTTAAAGGAGGTTGTAGAGAGGTGGCAATCAGTCTATTCAACCAAGTAATAAGTGATGGGACAAGAGAAGATGGCCTCAAAAGGGGATTTTAGATTGGATGTTAGGAAGAATTTCTTTAGTAAGTTGTTGTCAGGCATTGGAACAGGTTGTCCAGGACAGTGACGGAGTCCTAATCCCTGGAGGTATTTAAGGGTCATGTAGATACAGAGCTTAGGGATGTGGTTTAAGGACTTCTCAGTGCATTGGGCTCAGTGATCTTGAAGGTCTTTTCCAGCCTGGGCAATTCTGTGATTCTAAGAATTGTGTTTTGTTACTGGACACACATATACAGCTTCAGAACAAGAGGATATGGGAATTCCTCCTGGAAAGAAGGAGTTTTGCTTCTCCCAACAAGTGCTTTTTGCTGCCAGACAACCTGTGACAGTCTGAGCTGATTAAACAGTAAACTGGTCATAATACACTGGTGGTGTTATTGTGATTATGTAGAAATAAGAGATAAGCTTGCAAAATAAATAGAAAAATCAAGAGGTAAGAGGAGGCAAAACAGATGCTTGCAAGGATTTAGCATGAGCAGGATTTTTCATACCAAATATTTCAATTTGCTTTGCCATTGCTGTCAGTGTAGGGGGAACAGAGGGTGTAATACATAAGAAAAGAGAGAGAAAAAAGGAAAAAAAAGAGGCTAATTACACATAAAAGCCACAGAGAAGGAAAAGTCACTAATCAAAGGCTAGTGAAAGGAGAAGGAAAAGAGAAAGAAAAAAAGGCACAAACAAGTGAGATAAAAAAGCAGTTCATGACTTTGGATGCCACAGTTACACTGGCCAGCCTTAGAACATGCATTAAAGTTTTTTAAAATCTAGTAGAAAAATAAACCAGGTAGCGAGGCATAGTGTGTGGGGACAGTAAACAAGACCAGTTGCTGGAGGCTGTCCTGCCCTGCACGGGTACTGCTGTAGTCAGAGTTGTCACCATCCTTATCTCCTTGGTTTGTTTTGCAAAGTGGTCTTCAATGTTCCTATCATGGATAGGACTGTGCCGGTTGCTGCACAAACACGGGACACAAATACTGCCTGCCATAGTGAACTTACAGGCTGAACAGTTAAAACCAGTAGTTTTTATACTGCTGGCAGTTACCAAGGTTAACCTCCCTTTCTCCTACTGCCCATCTCTTCTTGACCCAACAGTGTCAGCAGGGCCCAGTGTATTATGTGTGTTTCATATTTGGCTGCTTACCGTGACCTGCCAGCCCATACTGCAAGTTTGCTGATCACTTCAGAAAGTAACTCTCTACTCCTGAGTGCAGCTGCAGGATGCACAAACAAGCAGCTCTTCTGAAAAAGGTATGTGTTCACACCCAAAGCACCGAGTTAGTCCACATGAACATTATACAGTCAATAATTTCACTGGGCTAGATTCTGGCTCTGATGTATTCAGACTGAGATCACTGAAAGTGGCTCCACTCAGTTTCTCTTCTACAAGACTGGATTTAGCAGATACTGAATTTTGTAAGTATCAACTATTCATGGCAAGTCTTTGTTAGTATTCACCAATCTGAGTTTTCATTGGTATGTACAGTAGAGCTTCCCTCAAGCCTCAGAAAAACTGTAAATTCCACAGAATTTGTCTTCATCACAAAAATACAGCCATATTACCTGCCTTGACATAGTATGTCTTGGTATAGACTTCATCTTTCCAAATAGCAAGACAGATACTTGATCAGTGTTTTTTTTTTTTTTTCTTTCACCTGCCCTCTGGTGCTGGGCTACAGATTTCCATTATTCCCTAAACATCTTTGGTGACTCTTTCTAAACCAAAACTGGGCTCTTTTGTACCAGCCCTTTACTCATCTTTTCTGAAAAAAAATTACACCCCCATCCCATTTCTCTTCTAGCTCTCCACGGCTGCACTGTATACAAGCAGAAATACATGTTCCGCAGTTCTTCTGTATCCTCCTGTCCTCTAGCTCTGGCCTCCAGTTCTCTGTTCCTTTTCTTCCTTTTTCTTCTTCCCTTTCTCCATGTCCAGACTCACATGAAGTTCATGCAGCTAGCTCCTGTCTCACACCGGGTCTCTCGCTCTAGTGTCTGGTGTGTGGAGCAACGTCTCCTGCTCTCTGACTTTTCAGATGCAGCCCAAAAGGCCCTACTGAAGGACAAATCTTCCAGCTGCCATGCTGTGCCACAGCCCTCCTTGGCCCCATGTCTTGCATCTAAAGAGCAGATGCTGGAGAATGTCTGATCTCTGGTCATGAGAAATGAGCCCGGATGGGAAACCCACTGGAGGTTGAACATGCACTCGGTGGTGGCAATGGATGGGAAGGGGAGGCTGAACTGAAGACAACATGTTCACATGCAAAAATGAAAACAACGGCTGATGTTGGTCAGGAGGAGGAAGGCTGCTAATTCAAAGCATGCCGCTTATCCACGTTGGACGCAGATAGAAACAATATGCGGGAGAGCTGCTATGTGCGGGGGTGGGACAGGCAAGGGCTGGCTGGAGTGGAGAAACTTGTCCATTTGCCAGAAGTGGGTGAGAGGGGGTGTGTAGGGACAACGCCCCCTTGGCACAGTGTCCAGGGGAGGGAGCTGGGGAAGGGGAGGGAGGGAAAGGGATGGCTTTGCCTCTCTTGCTGCACTTTAAATACCTTTGCACAGAGCTCTAGCCACTGTAGTAAGGTCAGAAGGCTTCACCCACAGCAACGAAGGGACCTCTCTGCGTGGGCATTGCTGCCTTTGCAATATGGACTCGCAACACTGCAAAACTAATGGTGACTCTTTCCAGGTAAGTGATAGGGTCTGTGTGCCTGCTTTTCGCAGGTGGAGGCTGTGGCTGCCTCTCTCCTGCTTACCCGTGCTTGCAAATCTCGTCCCCTGCTCTCTGAGAGGCAGTGTGACCCAAGGTGTGAGAAAACATCACACCTATTCTGATATTTTGTGGTGCCTGATTGCCACCAGTCTTCCTTTTGGCAGCTGGCATACTTGTCTGTTGTTAATTGTGCTCATAGAAGTGCAGTGAAAATAAACATTGCATATATGACAAAGAAACAGAAAAGATCAGCACCTAATTAGAGGCTTAAACCTGTGTGATGAAAGCAAGCTGCCCTGTTAAATGAAAGCAGCTGAAGTTAGGTGCTGTTCCGGTGGAGCTATTTGTTAAATTTTGGGACACTGACATCTTCTTTTTTATTGTTTACTAACTTACTTTGAATCCTTTGTTTTGAGAAATACAGGAAAGTCCTGAAGCCCATGCATTTGACTACAGGCACTATAGCTAACTGCAGGGGCAAGTGCCATAACCTGAGACCAGCATAGTTAATTGTTAGGACAAAATTCTGCATGTATGTGTCCTGTGAAAGGTCGCTGAACCCAAACACAAGCTGCAGAAAACGTGTGAAAAAGGGCTTCAGTTTCTACAAGTCTTCTTAAGAGCAGAGCAGCCACGGAAACCTGGTTTCCTACTGCTTTCTGTGCTGAGGCTGAGCTCCCATAAAAATTCTCCTAGGGTCTTGCTTTGCTCATTTTCCAAGTTGCATAATTGCCTGGTCCCATTTACATCTATGGGATATGAGCATCTAAATCCCCTAAAAAAATCTGACTATTACCATTTTCAGAGGTAACTTAGGAATCTTATTTATTTTGAGATTTTTTTTCCCTTTTTTCCCCCTACTGTTTGCTATATCTGTTAAGTCTGGAATTTACAACACAGAGGTGAAATTTTTCTCTCACTGAAACTGCAAGCAAAATTTCCTTTGGCTCCAACAGTGTTGGAATTCACTCTGAAGCGCTCATCTGATCAGCTCAGAAAGGCTGACAGGTCTGTTTTACTGACCTTCCATATTGTCACATGTATTGGAAAGGCAGTATCAATCTATGTGTGAAGTGGTTAACTAAAATTGCAGATTTGCACTGTGCTCAGGTAAACCCGTCCTTGCATCTATACATCACCTATGTTTGAGACTGTACTAGGTCCAGGAGTAGATGTTCATGTGCATCAACTGGTTCTTATTTTACTTCCTGGGGGAAAAAAAAAGAATTGGAAAAAAATAGAGCTCATTTTATCCAACACTACATTTATAAATCATATATACATGCCATAAACACAATATTTCGATTACAAGAAAAGATTTGTTCAATGATTAATCGTAATCACAGTGGTAACAGAACAGCAGAAATACCCCAAAGCTGCAATTCCTCTCTATATGCTGAACAAAAAGAAATTAGAATTGGAACTGAGAATGGATAAAATTTCATCAACAGTTAAATCTATGCATAGACACTACAAAAACTCAGCAATAAAAGTGAGTGCTTCTGTGTATATCAATGTATATTACCTCTAGTGTATATGTTGATGTATATTGTCTCCAGTGTGTATTGATTTATATTGCCTTTATATATATTGATAAGAAGTGGGCACCAGGAAAGCAATCATTTTACTCTTCTTTTCCCTTTCAGTGAAAGGTGTCATCTCTGTGGACAGACTCAGACACAGACTAACCTTGGTACAAAGATCTTCTAGTGATTAGGGGGCTGGTTAGCTCAGTGGTTTGAGCGTGATGCTGACAACAATGACAACACCGAGTTCGCCGGTTTGATTCCCGCTCGGTCCCCGTGTGTTGCCTGGTCTAGTCGAGAGGTTGGACTAGATGATCTCTACCTAGTCTCTTCCAGCCTAGACCATTCTGTGATCTATGATCTGAGTGCATATGCAGGTGTGCAAGGAGTTAAGCAAGTATCATTGTGTTTGCAAGTTTAGTGCCTACTCCTACTGCAAGGTGTTTTACTTGTAAGCATCAACATAAACCAGTTTACAAAAGTGGGAAAATGAGTGAGGACAAATTGAAAGTGGCTGACCTCAACACATCAAGGCTAGTGACTAATGAGAATCTATCTGGATTGGAAAGAAGGTTTTAAAGCCATTTTGGGGTAATCTCGTGGTATAGAGATCAATTAACATCAGTATTACCTTGAATTGTATCCCCTGCAGGTGCCTAAAACACAAATTCTTCCTTTGTCACACAAATTCCAGTCAACCTGCTACAAAAGTTAGTCCTCACAGTATGCCTTGGAAAGTATATTTTAAATATATAACTTCTAAACCAGTTCCAGTACAGACTGTGAAAACTAAGTTCTCAGTCTATTGTACAGACACTGGTGTAGCACAGTTCTGTCCTTATGATCAGTTTTTGTTGTGGTGAGGAAAAGCAGAAGGGCATAGCAATGCCTGGCCAGTATTTCAGATGACAGATTTGGTTACAGTATTATAAAATATCTGGACTACTGACATTTGGTTTGCCTTTTGACAGACTCCTGTCATTGTTTTCACTTGTGGTTGCGTGAGGTGTAAATGGGTTTCATTAACCAGCTGCCGCATCACTTCTGACTGTGACTGCTTTTCCTCTTGGTCCCCACCACATAAGAGCTGGGCCAGCTGCCTGGCTGGGTGAGAACATACAAGACACAGAGATGCTGTAGGAAGTGTCACAGTTGAACAGGTGACAAACTTCCCTCTGGTGCATAAGCCCACTGTTTCTACTACAGTTCCCACTAGAGGTTCCCTATAAAGGTGGAAAACATTTGGATAACATTTGCAGCGCCTGGAAGTAAAGCCAGATAGAAAGAAATGTCTTGCCATTCTCTGGCAATGAATTCTCAGATTAGCAGTAGCCTCAGAGACAACCTGAAGAACCAGGAATTATATACTTTACAAAAACAGGCAGTTCCTTAAAATTTTGCCTTAGAAAATATATTCCCACCAAGAACTTTACAGCTTCACGGCAGCTGGATTTAACGTTTACTACAAAGACTGTCTTTCCTAAGGACAATATTTGGGAACTAAGACTCTTTATACTCTGATTTATATGTTAAATTAAGCAATAGCTATGGTGAAGACAGGCTCTGACTGAAAATACTGATCTTCATAAAGAAAAATTGAATGGATACCTTGAGTGAAGTTTTGGCCCAGGGCTTGTCACATCAGTAGCCATCTGTGTTGCAGATGTCTGGTGTGATCTTCGAAATATTAGCCGGGGCCAATTTGCCCAGAAGCAGATGTTTAAAAACCCCTAACAAATAAGGCATTAATGTGACTTCCAAAATTTGTAATGGTTGCGCACCAAATTTACTCTGACATCATAAAAATTAAGCGATTCTGGAAATCTCAGCAGGCACTTACCTGCCATGTCAGTTACACAGAGAGTTTTGAAGATCTGGCCCCACTCTAGGACTCAGTTTCCTATTTCTGAAGTGATGAAGTAGCTCTTCACAACTTAACAGGGATTTTTTGAAAAGAAACGCATGTACTGAGGCATATTAAGACATTTTGGTAATAAGAACCATGAAAATAATTAAACATTCTTCTTGCTTGGGAATACTAGAAATTGCCTTTTGGAATTTGCAGAGCAGAAAATCAATAAGAGAAAGGGAACAAAGATAAATGAAAACATGTCTCACCCTAACTGAGTCTTTTTTCACTGTGGGATTTAGGGAAGATCTAAACATTTACTGCAATAATTTTTTTCCATTTTTTTTTGTTTTGTTTTGTTTGTTGTTTATTTTGGTTTTAATTCACCCTCCCTATACCTCTTGTGAATACCATCTCTCCTCAGGCTGCCTGGAAAGTACAAGCAGAACTGAACGGAAACATAGATCATGGCCTGCATCTCTGCACCGAGCTCATCTACATTGCTCTGCTTAATCCTGAGTGCTAATGAAGAGAAAGCCTGAGGGAAGGTCTTTGCACTGTAGCTGAAACTAAAGTGCAGTAATATTTCCAGTTATCCCTGAGCTTGATACACTTGAGAGATGAAGCAAGGCAAAGATGATATTAGACTATTTTCATGTCCTTTTTGGCTATCTCACTTCTACATGGCCCCCAGTCTGAGAGGAGCGATTTGTGTCTCTACCATCATAAATCAGAGCAGCCCCAGGCTTGCTCTTCTTCTGGCAGTAACAGTTGCCTTAATTCCAACTGAAAACAACTTTATACCCTTTTTACATTGCTGATGTGGTGCAAAAGGGAAATGGAGCAAAGCAAAACTGAATCCTGGGCTGAAAGTAAATATTTTTGTTCGTTTGTTTGTTTTCTTTCCTTTCAGGAATCTATGTATATTGAAGAGTCCTCAAATAAAAATGGTGTGATTTCTTTGATTTTCTCTCTAAAAGAAGAAGTTGGAGCATTGGCCAAAGTTCTGCGCACATTTGAGGTAAGTATTTTCCTTCAGGAGACCTTACCAGGTCTTTACATTTTTGCATTGCAGCAACATTTGCTCAGTGAATGGGTAGTTATGTTTGCGATTCCATTTCATTGCTGTAATGGGGGAAATCAGTATGCATTTCTTCTCTGGGATTGAAATCCTTTGAAGTCTTGCAGCAGAAGTAGCCCTTTTAATTTAAAATTTTATTTCAAACTTTTAAATTAAAACCTCTACTTTTAACTGATGTAAGGGAGGAAAAAATAGATTTTTCTACATTTAAGAAGGAAATGTTCTACTGTAACTGCTTGGTTAAGAGGTAGAAGTGAATTTGGCCATAGTCTGAGATTGATATACAATTATGTATATATATGTACATGTGCATGCATAGAAGGGCAAATAAAATCTGCATGTGAGCCATGTATCTCGGTGCACATGGTGTATGAAGTAGGAATACTTCCTGCAGCTACCATACTCTTAGCCTTGTCCATCTCAGTAAATATGATATAAATAAACCCACCATTTCCCACCAGTGGTACCTCTACAGAGGTGGTAGAGGGTATTTATAAAACAGTATCAAAATGATACCAAAAGGACTTAGCAACTTGTAGTGACTGATTTGGAAAGCTTTTGGGGAAACAAGGAGCCATTTACCTTTTGGGACATCGTGTGCTTATTTATTCTTGCAGAAATATTTCCCAGATGTCATGGATGCTGTTTAAAAAGCATGAAATCTTTGCCATTCAGGATAGTTGTGTTGCAACACACACAGCTATGTACTCTGTGCTCCCAAACAAATACACTGTTACATTGATTTTGTGACTTTTTTTTTTAGAACATCATCATGTAATAGTTATGCCTGAAAACAGCTCTTTCTATAGAGCGCCATAAAAAATTGTGGCCTGCATACTTTCCGTTTGTGAACTGAATTGACTAGGAAATGAAAGGTTTGTGTGCCATTGGTACAGATGAAAAATAATCATGAATTATAGCACATATTTGTTTCATTAAGATGAAGGGAAATTCATACTAATGATATCAGAGCTAGTCTAAATCTGTGAATTGACCACTGTAATAATGTCTGTATGTCAGTGGCATGCATATCTCTAAGTATGTAAAGGAGCCTGTTGATATTCTTTTTAGTGCATTGCTGTTTACTAACCAAATTACTGTCAGCTCTAAAGGAAAATCTGTGGGAGAGCTAGTATAGGAAAAAGAGAAGCAGCCACCTCTTTCATATGACTTTTCTCGCCCCAAAGCAGGTACCTAAACTAGACTGTCTGAATTATGGTTTTCTCCAGTGGCCTTGATGGCAACTGAGGGAATGGGGCTCAGCTAGAGGTGTCTGCACTGGTGGTTGGGTATTTTCCCATCTCACTGAAGCCAATTCTTTCTGTGCAAACTTGCAGTCTCCCACAGAACCATGGCTTGACAAGACACCTGGCATGGGTGCTCTTCTATCAGTTTTGTGTATTGTTGGCAATGTAGTAGGGAAACGGATGGCTGGCTAGGTGAAAGGGACTTAATGGTACAAGCTTGACCTGCAGCTTCTGCTCCTCAAGGCTATCATTAGGGAATTCATCAATATTGAAGTGTGTAAGCCAGAGCTGCCCTTGGGATGTTCTAACTCAGTGCAAACAACCTCACCTTGTATGCAGCGGTGTCAGTAATCATGCACATCCACTGCCCACCTGGGCCATTACCATGGTGCCTCAATGACATCCATGGCAGAGACAGGGAAGGTGGTGACATGCAGGTGAAGGAGAGGGGGCCAAGAGGGAAGACCTCAAGAGGATTTTTAACTTGTGTACCCCTTCTCTGCTTAATAAAATCAGCTATGAGATGCATGTTTAGCTACAGGAGCTAGTTCAGAACCTCTTTTGGTGGGCTCCTCTGGGCAGGGAGACCTCTTGCCTCATCCCCAGGGTTTCTGTCTCTGTCTCAGCACTGATCTAGGAAAATACAATTGAGTTTGTCTCAGAGGAGCAGCAGAGGGAGGAGATGTGGGGGTGGCTGCTCTGACTGTTGTTGCCTCACACAGCCACATGAAGCAGAATAAAAGGAAACACAAAAAGCCATAAAATATGATCAGACTGTTCCCCGGAGTGAACATAGCACTGCAGACACTGACCCCCGTGGAGGGTCAGACCTTGTGTGGCTACTGGTGCTGATGACCATGTGTGGTGTTTTCGGACCCCTTCTGATCCTTGTCCAGGCTGCTGGGGGCTCTGCAAACACTCACGCGTGGGAATGCAGGCAGAGAGCACAGCTCAACCCTCTCCTCCCAGCTCATGCTTGAAAGTGATTACGGGACAGTGCCTCCAGCACTGGCTTTGAGGATTTTGCCTCTTCTCTAGCCAATCTCTAAAAATACTCTGGGACATGAAGTGGAGAGGAGGAGAGTTAAGTGAGCTGTAGATCTGAAAGTCTTAAAAAAAAAAAATCCTCTCTGAAAACAGGGAAGAAAGTATGGAAGCAAGATCCAAACTGAGACTCAGAGAATTACCTGATCTAGTTAAAAGTGTTACCTGACCTAGTTAAAGATGTCCTTGCTCACAGCAGTGGGGTTGGACTAGATGGTCCCTTCCAGCCCAATGCATTCTGTGATTCTGTGAATTGAGGATACCTAAAGAAAGGAGAAATCTCATGGTGCCATCAGCAGCTAAGCTGCCTTTCTGTACAGGAGCTGTCTGTGTGGACCTGGAGAAGTTCATCCTCTCCTTGATTTAAGAGCTGGAGAAAAAAAATCTGTTACTCTAGGAGAGCTGTTCAGCTCCTCACATCCCTTCCATGTCCTGCTTCTGTGCTGGGGTGAAACTTGACTAGGACTAACTCCCGCCACAGCTTGATCTCCACAGAGACCAAGAGCCCGAAGAGAGCCATGGTGTACTTCAGACTGGCCTTGCACCTGGATAACAGGAGGTCCAGGACTGCTAGTTCATCAAGCACCATGGCTGCCCCCCAGTCCAGACATAATCTCTTCTCACCCAGGAATAAAACCTCCCAGGGAAGGAAATAGTGTCCGAACACAGCTCAGACAGATTGGGTAAGTCCCAATCATGGGCCAGGGTGGACCAAAGGTAGGGGAGCCTCGTATCCAGGTAGGTGAAGGCACAGTGACAGTGGCTACAGAGAGCGCTCACAGTACAAAATTACATCCTGTAACTGAGAAGTTTAAGAGATTTTCAATGGGTATTGCAGAAACATTGTTTATCCTACTCAAACTTCCCTCTGGGTTGCTCATGCAGGTGACAAGAGTGGTGCATGCGCTCACATTTTTTTTCCTCAAAGATCCAAACTCCAGTTTTCTGGTTGAGTACCAGTTGCACACAAGTATGTGGCTACAGTGACAACTGTTGTTTTTCCTGTGTAGCTTGAAGGCTTTTTTTTCTGAGGAATCTGCTTTATGTACTCAGCTGCTTATATCTGCTGGATTTATGTCCAAAATGTACTTGATAATATTCACTTTTTTCATTGGATTTGCAAATATTAGAAGACGTGTCAGCTGCAGTATGTGGCAAACATTGGGTTGGAATATAGTGTAAGTTTACTTAATCCATTCTTTTTGAGGAGTCTTCCATTTTCTCTTCACCTTCGTCACCTTCTCAAAGACAGAACAGGACTTCAGTACAAAGTCCAGCCATCAGTAGGGTTACTTATACAGGGTAGGACTTTATCTCAAAATAGGCCCCATTGATTTTCACTGAACAGTACACCTGCTCCTGGACTTAGTTACTGCTCCATGAAGGACTGGATGGGAGCAACGTGCAACACTAAAAGAGACTCTATTTCAGAGCCAGCAAAGATGATTGTGCTCTTTTTCTGTTTAGGAGCTTACTTTTTTCAATAGAAAGTCCAAACTGAGTGTTATCTCTTTGTCCCTCAGGAAGGTGTTTTGGGTTGTTTCCAAATCAGGAGAAGCAAGCAGTCACTTTGGCCAGCGGGTGTGTTGGAAGTGTCTGTAGTGATAGGTGAACAGGCCAGGCATGACCAAGAGATTTGTTTTTTCATCATAGTATGCATATGCACAATTACAATCACTTTATTACGCTAGAACTTATTGCTCCAAATACGTGTCCTTGGTCTGAGCTCTCCTCTTTCCATGGTCAGCAGAGCAGGACTCCTTGGTCTAGCAAACCAACATAAATTTAAAGAGTGCCCTCTTGCTAAGTGCTTATGTAGTGCTACATGCTGTCACCTGTGCCATTTGGTTTGTCCTGTTCTATGTGTTTTGTGGCTAGATTGTGCCGAACATCTTATAACAAACTTTAGGGTCGGAGCACAAGTAGCAAGTGACGGACACCAAGAGCTGCTCCAGGGCTGGCTGCCCTTTGGAACTGTTTGCTGGCATGGGCCAGCTATGGATCCCTTTGCCTCTGTGAGCTTGTCACGTGAGGAACACCCTAGCAAATGTGAAGGAGATGGGGAAGCACTGACTTCAGCTGAGAACCAGGCCATTGGACAGTAAAGCTGAACCAGACATCTGCCTTTGCCTTGACTTTGGGAAACCATGGCTGAAGGCATTACTGTAAGTTAATCTCTGATTTGTGAAAATTAGGCACTGAGTTTCTACTTGGGCTTCTGAAAGCCTAGTTCAGGAAGCCCTGAACTAGCCAGTGACAAGGGTTAAAATGGTTAAAAGAACATCTCACTTTTTTTTTTTGTATCAGGAAAATGCAAGGGAGATTTCAGACAAGTTCTCACTGAATGTTAATTTGTGGTAGGAACTGTAGTGCTGTTCATCTGGTAACAATGTGAGGTCTCCTGATGAAGCCGAACTTAATGACAACAGTCATGAAAACAAGCTGCAGATGGATTTCACATCTGTACTTAGTTTTAACAACCATGTACAGGAGCATTTAGTAATGTGTAAACAGAAGGACACATGAATGTCATGGGAAGACTATAACATTCCCAGAAAATATCCATCTCCACTGAACTTCCTCGCGTAGTTATGAAAACGCAACTTTTCCAACGTTCAGACTATTAAATTCTTCACAGGTGGGACTAAATTCTCTTGGCAGTGACCACTGCAAGATTGCTGGCTTAGTGTAACACCAGGCTGTTTTGATCTTGCTGGTGTGTGTGGCAGCTGCGGGAGATGCTCAGTCAGGATGGCATAAATGGAATAACCTGGGGAAAGATCTGGAGCTGCTTTATGGCCTCTGAGACGGTGCCAAGGCTGAGATCCAGCACTGTGGTGTAAGGCAGGCAGGGAGATGGGAAATCTTCTGCATCCACCACTGCCTCTGTTGCAAACTGGTAGCTGTATCGCTGATCGCCATAATTCAAAAATCATGACTTACACAAAATGAACTTCATCCTAACTTGTTTGTTTGAGTTCTGAGAGCATCTTGAGACTTCTTTCTCTAATGGGGGCTGACAGAGATACAGTTAACTTGGATATTCAAATAAAGAAAGCTGAGACATTTCACTCCCAGGAATGGAAGTTTTAAGAAAAGGAAGTCTGTAATGACTACTGCTAACTTCAAGGGATCTGGCAACACTCTACCCCTGTTATCTCCATTACGTGTTACACTTAATGCTACCCTTAGTCCTCAAGGCAAAATCTGTTTTGAATTATTAATATTTGCTAAGAAGTATATTAGGTATAGCCTAGTACACTGCTTTGAAATAAATGCAAAGTGAACAACTACCTTTCCTCTACCAACACAGGAGCATGCCAGCAGGTTGTATGACAGAATGTGTCAGTTTATGAGAGACTAAGTTTCTATGCTGGTCATAAACCTGAGGAGAAGCAGGGAAGAACCAACCTGCTGCGAGTTCTTTAAAACTGCAATGAATGATAGTGTGAGTTCAACAAAGGCACTTTTAATCTCAAAGCATGGGCTCATTTGATTCCTACCAGCTCTAAAACAGGAAAGGTGAAAGAGATTGGTCAAATGTGAATCCAGCCCAGATCTTCCAAAACCGATTAGATTAGTTGCTAGGTTCCATCAGCAAAAAATAGCTCAGAAATCATGAAGTCACATAAAGTAAATACAGAATTTTTATTAGCTCTCTGTGAGGGCATACATTGTCAAGATTTCAAGCACTACTAAAACACACAGAGAGGTTTAAAATGGTTCAAAATAAACAGCTAAGCCAAAAAATGCCTCTGTTCTCCTTTCTCAGGTATTCATTTGTTTCCAGAAACTGGAGCTTTAAATAAAGCATCAACTATTGTGAGAAACCTGATGCAATTGCAAAATTTGGCAATACTGAGGATACAAAAAAGTTTTGAACAATGTGAAACTATGAAGATTAAACACTAGATGGAGTAGTTGGACTAGAATGAAATTGAGATTCTTAGAGCAACTCTAGTAACAGAGCCACTGTAAATATTTCAAAATCATGGTCTTAGTAGCAAGACGCAGCATATGAGAGCATGTTTCTCCAGGAGCGCCAGTTCAAGGAGTTGGACATATGCTGCTGAATTCTTGCTTTGAAAATAGTCACCAGAAGTGTTCTCCCTTCAGCTTCTCTGACCTGAGGTTTCAAGCCTAGGCACAGAGGTAACTGGTTGGCTCTGCACATTGCTGCGCTGCAGGCATTCTGCAAATAAACAGCAAACTAGCTTTGTGCTCTGCAAGAAGTTGTTTTGATTATCTCAAGTGGTGATGACTCGCCCCATAACCTCCTTTATTCCTGTGTTCATTTTATCCCTCTTTTCTCCATTCTCTTAGGCTGTAACAATACTTGGGGAGGCACTGATTCTCCTGCTGCCTTAAGCATGCCTTGTGCCCACCCTGCAGCTTGTCTCTTCATTCCCAACCCCTGCATCATTCCCTCTATTTTGTGGGCACCGCTGTCTGTGCAGCTGCTTGCTGAGCCAGGCTGGAGAGCTGGTGCAGTGGAAAAGGGGGATGCTGAGGCTAGGTTGAACGCTTGTGGGTGAGGAAGGAATGCAGTGGCCACCAAAGAGAGGTCTGTGTTTTCTCAGCCTCTGCAAGATAAAGAAAGCCCAGCCATGGCCTGGGACTCCATTTTCCCCTGAATCTACAGAGAGGCAGAATACAACAGCCCAATACATCATTGCAAGGTGAGAGTAAAGCTGCACCTCAGTATGTCTGATATGAGCCTTTGGCAGAGGCAGGATTTACACCCACACTCCACCTCTGTGAGTGGCTACACATGGCAGCCAGACGGCTCCCAGTTTCCAGGTGCCAGCCCTGTGTCAACGCAATACTCTCCATGGCACAGCAAAGGGGCCGCGGGCCCTCCCCTTGCCTGCTCTCTGCCCAGAGGTTTCCAGCTCCGACTCATTCTGAACACCCAGCCCTGCGCTGCCCCACCTCCCAGCCCCTCATCAAGCGGAGGGTACAATGTGAGGTCTGTTTGTGGAAATGGGCCTTCAGAGGCCTAAAACAAATTATCCTTGGGGTCCAGGAGAGCAGCGGCCATTCTCTCCCCCAGACGGCCCCGTGAGGACAGCATCTCTCAAGAGCAGCAGTTGGCGAATGTGCTTTTGACCTTTTCAACTTATTGTATTGGTATCTAGCCAAACAATTTAAGTTCATTTGTAGTGTGCAACACTCAGGAAACAGAAGAATGACATGAATGCTGTTTCCTACCAAGTAATAAACTGCCTTTTGTGGTGGAGTGAATGAGGGCTTTGCTGCTGATGGCCAGATGCCCCCCTGCGCTCTGCAAGCGTTGAGAGGAGCAAAGAAAACCTTAAAGGGTTTGAGAAGCTCAGACTAGAGGGAGGTGCAGAAAAAAAGCTTCTCTCTTTCTTCCCTGTAGGTCACAAGTAGATCCTCACTGCGCTTCTTCATGGATGAAATGCTGACCCCACTGCGTCAGGGGGGTTGACACTGACACCAGCAGGGCCATCATTTCACCCCATGTAGTTTGGCATCTTCTTAAGCCTGAAAGAAGCAAAACAAAAGATTCTTCAGGGCTGCTGAGCACTGTATGTCAGCTCCTCTGACTCTTCTGCAGTTGATCTTCAGGCCCAAATTTCCTTCAGGGGTTTGTCTACTCCTCCCAGGAGACAGAGCCCCAGAAGTGGCCTCGGTGTGCCATGGCCACAGCTCCAGTGTGAGCCTGACAGGAAGGTCAAGTAGTAAAGTTAGCACCAACTGAAGTTTGTTTGAAAGTATTTTCTCAAAAAAGAAAGAAATATTTTCATCCCGAAATTACAGTGCTCAGGAAAAGGTTTTAGTTCAGCTAAACTGAGGTATATTTCCCTGGATTTGTGTTTAAATGACTGAAAAATAGAATTTTTACTACTTGTTGCTTTACACATTGACATGATGGCCTGTCTGAGTTCAGGTACCCACTGGTCATAGTCATCAAGACTATAGTTGCCAGTGATCCTTTTCTTCAGATCTAGGAGGTAGTGCTGCTGGTCAATGAAGACATTTGGTGAGATGGAATTTGAATTTCTGTGTAAAAAAAGATTTTTTTTTGCTGTGAGAGTGAACTAATTTTAGAGCAGTTGCCTGGAGAGCTTGGAGACAGCCAAAACTCGACTGGACACAGCCCAGGGCAATCTGCTCTAGTGGACCTTGTCTGAGTCTGTTGAACTAGAAGATGTCCAGAGGCCATGTCCAACTTCAGCAACTCTGTGATTTTGTGACTCTGTCATTTAAAACACCCATTTATTTACTTTTTTTTCTCTTTTTTTTTTCCTCAACAATCCATGTGGGACCAAAATATCTCTTTCTCATAGGAAAAAGGTATAAACCTGACCCACATTGAGTCCCGACCTTCCCGTCTCAACAAAGATGAGTACGAGTTCTTTATTAACTTGGAAGGGAAGAATGTCCCAGCACTAGACAAGATCATCAAGTCCTTGAGAAATGATATTGGAGCAACAGTCCATGAGCTTTCACGAACAAAGAAGAAGGACACTGGTAAGGATACACTGACAATAACATTAACGAGGAACATTTACATCACATACTTAAATGACTTCCCTGTAGCAAAGGAGTTTCTCCTGGATCTGTATGGCTGCATTTCCCTTCCCCTGCTTGTTTTGCTTCTGCTGTAAACTTTTTCATTTGGCAATTTTCTGCCAGTGTAAACTGCCGTGCTCCATCTTTTGCCATGTGTCTGACTATGTCACCTGAGAATTAGTATTATGGTGTTATGTTGTCATCTGTCTGGTTGATCTGGGACCTCACAAATCACTCTGTCACAAACCTTATAAACAAAGGTCACAAGAGTTCAGTTTGGTGCAAGGCCTGGTACAGAGTGATGGCATTCTCATGGAGCAAATGCATTGCTCTCCTGCATTCCCTGGGGCTGGCATGCTCCTTTGAATACTCAGATTTACTTTCTGATTTTGGTCTCATGGACCCTGGCTGCTGGACCCCCATTGTTGTGGGACCCTTGCACCTCTGGGCTGAGATGAGAGGAGGGGATGAAAAGTCCCACTGGAGGACTGTGCCCCCTCAAGTCTTCACTCTTCGTCACACAGGTATGAGTCCAACACCATTCATCTGCCTCTCCACTTTCTAGGCTTCTAGATGCCCATCACTCCTGTTATAGAAATTAGGGAGGCTCTACCACACACTTTGGTGGGAGCAGAAATAAGTCTCCATTCACATAAGAAATTCCAGGGAGGTGAGTTGTAATTCTAAGGAAAGATTTTGTGAGCTGCCCGTGCTCCTAATTTTCAGAGATTTGCTAGAATTGAGGCTGCTTGGTACAGTGGTGTCTGCCCAGCATCCAGTCTGAGACACACTTAAATGCCTCTTCAGCTAACAGATGTGATTTTAATAGGATTTCAGACTTTAAATACTTTAGGTCTGGATCTTCCTCTTCCTTCCTAGGAACAACATGAAAGGACATTAATACCTTCTTGAGATCAGTGCTGGTAATCCTTTTACCGTTTCCTTTGTGTCATACCCATGACATTATATCTGAAGATGAAAAAGAAGAAGGCAGATACTCTTTGGAGTCAGTTCTCTCCATTCATGAGATAAAGGGACAAAAGGTTGATTAGGTGATTTATGATCACATCAAATCAAAGAGGTTCTCTTTTGGGGGCTTTTTTATTTCCAGAAGAAAACTACAGGGCCTAGCAGGGCTCACCATTGATTTAGTGGTTTTTTTTTTCAACTCTTATTAAGAAGTTAATAATAAACTTTACTAAATAATAAAGTTGTGTATAAGCATAGGCCAGAGTCTGATAGAGATACAGCTCTAAATATCAGTCAAGAAAGGCTTGTGAGTGAAATTCTGACCTCACAGAAGTCAAAACTTCCGTGGTCAGCTGTAGGATTAGGATTTCACTGCATGGTACTGTGTTGATCAAAGGGGTTTTGAGCTAGATTATCCTGTCAGTGTTGCAGAAAGGGACTTGATCTCTTTCTGTCTGAGAGGATAATTGTGTTTGTTTGTTAGCTTCAGTAATTCAGAAATAGTATAAAGTAGGAGAAATTTATTGCCAAGGAAAGAGAGGAAGATTGATATTTCTTTCTGTCCTTTCTCTTCTTAATTTTTTTTTTTTCAATTTCAACTTCTCTCATGGGTAGTACGGGTCCAGTCAAACTGAAATCCCCAGAGAGCCATACTTTGAAAGGTCAAACAAGCCTTGCTTAGGGGATGAACTGTGTGTGGCAAATTCTGGGCTGAGGCAGCTACAGGGGCAGAGTGAGATGGGAGCAGCCCAAGCTGTAGGAAGTGTGGTAAGATGCTGTCCTTTATCAGTGATGGCATTAACAAATAACAGGCCTCGTGGTGCCTGACTTTCAAATGCATCCTCCTGGCAAATCTGGTCAGAATCCACAGATGCGCTTGTGTGAAATTTTATTCTTAAGACACAGAAGGAGAGCAATAAGCTTTCAGGAGGCAAAATTGGAGAAATATGTTTTTTGGGGGATATTGCAACACTCTTCTCAGTGGGCAGGTAAAGGCTGGGAAGGTTTTATGCTGGAGGTAGTATGGGATCCCATGGGACTAATTCTTTTACTGCTGCCTAAAGATGCTTTCAGCCCTTTCTTGCTAAGCTTTAATTTTTCTCATGCTCATGATCTGAGAAAAAAACACAAACTATTTTGCTCAACTTCATGTAGGAAGCACACAGTGCCATTCTTGGAGCCCTGCTTTGCAGACAGTCAGAGGAAATTTCTGTATTCTTTCCCTTTGCTATTGTTCAGTCTTAAACATATGTGCTTTATTGGACAAGGGTTAAATTAATGACTTTTTCGGTGTTTTTTGTTTGTTTGTTTATTTCTTTGCTCTTTTTTTTTGGTCTGGTCACTGTAACTGCTTTTAGGATCTTTTCTCAATTAAATACAAAATGTAATTTTGCTTTGTCTTTGATCCATCTGGATAGTCACAAATATTAGATTTGGATCAACAGTGTAATTATATCTGAGAGCAGGCCAGCAAAAGGCTCTGAATCCAAAGGTAGTTTTAGAGCTTCAGGTTAGAGGGGGTAGGAGTCACTGGGCCAAAAGCTCTTTGTACAGATAGAGAAATTTGTTGTGAAAACACAGTGTATCTCTTCGTGTCTCTTTCTGGAAACAAGCTGGGTGTCTGCAATCCATTTGGAGCTCATGAATAAAAAGGATTAAATATTATTCTGTTGCAGCATTAGGGAAATGCAGACAATTTATTGCATTTCTGAGACAGACTGGGAGATGAGGTTCTGTAGGGGCCTTGTTTGCCAAACCCTGAGGCTGGCCAAAGCAGTTGGGACTGTTTAAAAAAGGGCTAAACCTGGGCCTTGAACTGCTATAAATTGCATAGACCTGTCTTTGACCCTCCTCACAATGGTCCAAATGGAGGAGTTTTGCAGAAGTTCTCGCTGCCCCTGCTTTGCTGTGTCTCATATAAATGGCTTATTAGCATTCTGCTAAGCATTTGACCCCACGGTAATTTGGTCACCACTTGGGTGTCCAGCACGATCCCATAAATGCTGCTGTTTCACTTAGAGACAAATCAATATTTATTACTGATCAGCCCACGTTTGCTGCTCAGATCTTCACAGAGGCCCAGTGTTGCAACAGCTTGCCCTGGCAATTCATTAATGGTAGTGCAGACAGACAGCGAGTCTGGTGAATGGGCTGGAGAAGGATGTTGCAAACAAAATATGGGATAGATTCAGCCAGGGGATAATTTGATTTGATCTTTTAAATTGCTGCTGGAAGGGCTGGGGTCTGCCTCCTGGCACACCACATCTAGGCAGAAAACCCAGCAGACCTTTTGCACCCTGGTCCGTGATGTAAGGACTGTATGGGTTTGGTGCAGTGCCAGCCCTGCGTCTGTGCTCAGAATTTTCAATTCTTGTTTCCACAAGAGCTGAGAAAGCCCAGGACTTTCCAGGACCTGACTTAACTATGGTGGTTCTGGTGCAAATAGCACCAAGTGTCCTCAGGATTTCCCTTTCACAGCCTGCCCCTTTCATCCAACTCCATGAGTTCAGAGCTCTCTCTTAGTTACCAGCAGTGTCCGGGGGGACCTGGAAGGGGGCCAGAGATCTGCTGAAAATAGGTCTGGTACCTACAGCAGTTGTATGCCTAGAAATAAGGTGCTGCTTCTGTGTAGGTGGAAATGATGCCACCCATCTCCATGTCAGGGACTGACACTATATCAGTCTGGGACTGAGCCTGTCCCCGAGTTTATCATGAGCTCTGCCTCAAATATTTTGGGGATCTTGAGAATAAAATGTAATTAATGAAAGTCACTATTATATATCCATTTTACCCCTTCTTGAAGTTGCAGTAACTCAAACCTCCTCTTCATTCTGCATGCATGCCTGTATAGAAACATTCATCTGGAGGCAAAGACAACTGAAAATTAGGAAAGAGTCTTTTCAAAAATAATAATAATTAAAGCTGGTGGAAAGTATCATTTAGATAATGGGAGAGGCTGATTGTGAGTAAAAGCAGGGTCTAGGGCTTCATAAAAACTTCATGAGCACTTCCCTGCCCACCTAAACCTTTCTGATTCAGGGCAACAAAACTCTATGGACACGACTGCTGAAACTCACTGCAGACTTCAGGCTCCATCAATCTGTCTGCACAGCCCAAGCGCTTCAGCTCTAACACTGATAAATCCTTTGCCGTGGTGCTGCCAGACAGCTTTTTTCCACTGCCTGATCCAAAAACATTTATCAGTATGCCTCACTCCGAGCTTGTAGTGAGGAGTCAGAAGCACAGAACAGTGAAGAGATTCTCCTACCGCCCCACAAAGCTCAGAGGCAGAGCTAGGAGAAAAACCTAGTTCTTGGCTGCCCATATAGAAAACAGGGGCAAGATGGCTGGGGGAGCTCATCCTTCACGTGGTGAGAGTGAGTAGTGGCTCCTCTCTAGGACTCAAACGCACCGTTTTCTGCTCAACCCCTTTGACTAGTTTAACTCAAGGGGTTGAAGGTGCAGGAAGGTTGACAACAGCAAGGTGAGAGAGTATTTCTGGAGAAAGGAGAGAGACTAGCTGTACATCCAGAAAATACGGTCGTTTGGGGAAGATCTTCCTGGGACTGCTGCTGCCACCTAGTGGCGTGTTCTGCTCTTTTAGAGAAAGCTGAAGGATGCGCAGCTCGGAAAGACGGGGACCAAACCCCACTTCTGCTGGGCAGGGGAAGGGGTGGCACAGCCGGCAGCACTACCGAGCTACTAAAGGAGAGAGACTAGCTGTACATCCAGAAAATACGGTCGTTTGGGGAAGATCTTCCTGGGACTGCTGCTGCCACCTAGTGGCGTGTTCTGCTCTTTTAGAGAAAGCTGAAGGATGCGCAGCTCGGAAAGACGGGGACCAAACCCCACTTCTGCTGGGCAGGGGAAGGGGTGGCACAGCCGGCAGCACTACCGAGCTACTGGCTGCTGGCAGCCACCAGCTGCCTGCTCTGCCCGGCCTACCTGAAACAAATCTGAGGGCTGCCAGCCAGAGTTGGATGGAGCCAGGCTGGTAGTGGGACATTAGGTCAGGGGGAGCGAGCACTCTGCATGGGGCTGAGTTGCAGCCGCCCAAAGTGTGCCTTGTAAATCGGGTGGTGTTGCTCTGGCCCCTCCTTGCAGGTGCCTCACAGAAACCCAATGCTGAAAGCACCCTCCATGTTGCTAGCCAAGGCAGAAAGCAAGGCTGAATAGTCCTGGCGAGGAGGGAGTGATCCTCTTATCTCCTAGGTGGTCCATCAGGTCTGGGATGAGCCCTATCAACAAGGCACTGCAGGGTGCTCAGGCAGCAGCTGCTTGCTGGGGATCAGGTTCATTTGGCACAAAAGCTAAAATCACGCGGGGAGGTATGGCTGTGTGGCAGCGCTTCCAGCTGAGCAGAGAGCCACACAGGGGAAAGAGCTGTTCTGCAAGCACTGACTGAATGAGCGGCACCTATTCATGCAAGAAAGTCACTAAAAAAACTGCAGACATTGTAATGAGAGACTCCTGAGAACCCCCAGGACTGGACCTGCAGCAGACCTTTGGGTGCTTGTTAGCCTTGATGGAGGACCTGATAGAGAGCTATAAAATCCTAGCATGGCTTGGAGAGAGTGAGTAACAACAAATGATGTTTGTATGCAGTAATAAGTAGCATCAAATGAAAAAAAAAAGTTTAAAACAAAAGGGCGTGATTTTTCATATCACATGTAAAGAAATGATAGTGCTCAGTGCTGCAGAGTTTCCTGGAGACAGATGTGTATGTACATGGGTCCAAAGAGTGCTTCGCTGTACTTGTGAGAACTTCATCACAGGCTATTAAATTCAGGCATGGCTGGAGCCTTTGACTCCGGTGGAACGGAAGGGAAAAGAAAAGTGGCAGGCAGCTAGGGTCTAAGGGCCAAAAATGTAACAATGGGGAAGCAGAAGGAAAACTCAAGTTAGCAGACCCCAGCAGCACTGGCAGCTCCCAAGATGTGCCCAGCTGCCAGTGGTACCTAGTGGTGGTACCTGCTGATGCGCTTCTCAAAGCAGAGGTGAGGTAAGGGAGGGGGAAATGCCCACGGTCCCTGTGCTCCTTCCGCAAAGCTTCCTTGTCTCAGCATAGCAGTGGGCTGGGGTGGTCAGGGCCAGTGGTGGCTAATGAGGAGGTCTCTGGCTTGATATACACCTCGATTCTCCTGGAGAATTCTGAAGAGAGAGATACAGCCTGGCACAGCTACTACATGTGTATGGTGGCACATGTTACAAGGCAACAGAGAACCAGGCCTGGAATATTAATTGAATTAATGCAGTATTGTATAATGACTGCAGTAACACAATGTGAGGCCAAGGTATTAGGGTGCCATTTATCATTTTATTTCAGCATCTTAGCTCAAGTAAGACCTTCAAGTAGGTCTTAGAGATTTTCAGAGGGTTAGATAACCTTCTACATTTCTTGTTGTGGGATTTCTTACTCTTTCTTTGAAATTGAAGTAGTTAGCTGTTCTAGCTACTGTGAAAAGAAAGGTACTCCAGAAAAAATCCTACATTTTGGTAAAGCAAGGGACCAGAATAATGAAGAGGAAATCATAAACATTACAAGCCAGTTCTGCACCAAGTGACAGATGTTCCTGATGCTCTGTAATCTTCCAACAGTGCAAAATAATCACAAATTCAAGACAACTTATAGGCTTTATTCTTGCCTCATACTACAGGGAAAGGCCACTGCTGCCCAAAGAATTTAGCCCCTTGCTTATGTTTCTTTATATTTATGATGAAAAGGTGGAAAGAGCAGAAGGCAACTTCAAATCAAGTAATGAAGCAGCAAACCAATCTGTATTTCTTTTCTGTTTTGCAGTGCCGTGGTTCCCAAGAAGTATTCAGGAGCTGGACAGATTTGCCAATCAGATCCTAAGCTATGGTTCAGAATTGGATGCTGATCATCCTGTAAGAAATGGAACTTTACTTTTTTTAACATGTTTCTGTTACTGGGACAGATATTTCTCTCATTTTCATTTGCTCTGCTTTAAGACAGGTCTAGAACACTAAGACTCACAAGGTATAGGGCAAGAAGAATACTATTACTACTACTACTTAATAGGGTAAGGATGAGCCCAATCCCTCGTTATGAAGTAAATCATACCAAAGGTGGCTTTATTTTGAGGGGGGACATTAAAGGTCATAGCAGGGCCACCACAAGTCTTTTCTAGTTGTCCCAGGTGTCTCTGCTGTGGTGACTTCAGACTCCTTTTGTGAATCACAACAAAAACTTCAGAAGCCAGATACCATAGACAAGAGATAGGAAGACTGTTTTGGTTTTTTAATCCTTGATTCCATACACACAATTGACCTTAGTGCCTTGTTGTGTGGTTGTTAAATCTGACATGATTCTTGTATGGGGATACATAACAAAAAGAAAAGGTTCCTGTTTCAAAAATTTTGTGGTTTAAATGGTAGGGTCAGAAAGATTTGTTCACTAGCTTAATTGATAAAAATATATTATTCAGCGGTTTTTCAGCTCTTCCAAATACAAGAATATTTTCTGTCTCTCTTCCCTCTCCAAGCAAACAACAACTTATTTTCATTTGTGAAAACACACTGAGTTCCATGCAGTGCAACAGAAATTGCTGCTATTAGTTTAATTGAGATAGGGTGATTATAAATAAATTACATGCAGCGCAACAAAAATTGCTGCTATTAGTTTAATTGAGATGGGGTGATTAGTCATTCACTACCTATTGCTTAATTAGAGATGTGTTATGTATCATGTACAATGATTCATGATGTTCAGTGTGATCATATGAAAGGCAGAATGAAAGGAGATACACTGAGTCAATGGCCCCCTTGTGTGTCATGCAGGAATAGACCAAGACTGTATTTGAAAAAAAGAAACAAACAAACAAAAAGATGTTAAAAGGAATGAAGCATGTCTGCTCCAGTTCCTAGAATTAGTCAGTGAGCAGTTTATGCCTTAAAAAGGAAACCCAGCTGCTTGGCTAAATAGGTGTGACTGTATGCAGAGTGTAGGAAAAGAGAAATTAAAGGAGCCTATGCTTTTAGTAGTTAAGTGATGTGGGATTTAATCACCAATGCCTCTACACCAGGTTTATCTTGGACAGTGCATTTTTTCAGGTCATTGGCTGCCTCTTTTTTGACTCATATTCCTAGATCTCCACTCTACTCCAGCTGCCTCCTGTACTTGGTTGTGTTTTGTGGCCCCTCAGGCCAGTCATGCCATGCACCACTAAGAGATGCACTCACGAACTGCCAGAGTGCCCAGTGAGTGGTTGTTATTTGCCTTGCAGAAGTGTGTCCTAGCTTGGAAGGTTGTTTCTTCACTGTAGGTGGTGAAGATACTCCTAGCCCTGAGAACCTTTTACTCTAAATAGCAGGAACACTGGAATAGGAGAGTGGTTATGTGAGAGAGCAGCTGGAATGTGTTGAGATCTATCCAGGGGCGGATGAGGAGCAAGTGGAGAGTTTGTGGCTAAGAATTAAGGGACAGGCTACCATAGGTCATACTGTGGTGGGTGTCTATTACAGACCACCTGATCAGGAGGAGAAAGTTGATGAGGCCTTTTACAGGCAACTGTCAGTAGCCTCTCAATCACCAGCCCTGGTTCTCATGGGAGATTTCAACTACCCAGATATTTGCTGGAAGGCCTACACAGCCAGCCATCCTCAGTCCAGGAAGTTCCTCCAGTGCATTGATGATAATTTCTTGATGCAATGGTGAATGAGCCGACCAGGAAAGGAGCGCTGCTGGACCTTGTGCTCACCAACAACGAAAGTCTGGTTGAAGCAGTGACTGTTGAGGGCAATCTTGGCTGCAGGGACCATG